GGAAGGAAGGAAGGAAGGAAGGAAGGAAGGAAGGAAGGAAGGAAGGAGGGAGGGAGGGAGGGGAGATCCTAATCTCTGGGTCAACTCCCATGCCCCATTTGGGTTTTTGACTCTTCTTTATGACTTTGTCCAAAGTAAAATTCCCTGTTGATCTACCTACTATAGCAATGTTTGCCTGACTGAATCTCAATTGGGACCATTTAAGTGCTGGGATGGTGTTAAATTTATAAATTGACATAAGGAAAATTGACATGTCTGGGTTATTGTCTTTCTATCCAAGAAGGTGGTCTTTCCATGTGGTCGGTCTCCATCTATGTCCCTCCAGACAGTTTCAAAGTATTAGCACTTAGCACTTTCCTTTTTTCAAGTTGTTGAATTTCTTCCTAAGTACTTCATCCTTTATGTGGCTGGTATAAATGGTACTGTCATGAGATCTCAATGCATTAATATGTAAAGCACACAAAATAGTCTAGCATACAGTAAGTGCCACAGATGCACTTGCTATGATTGTCATTCTTAGTTTCTGCCCCAATATCCTCTAACCGGATTTTTATCTGAATTTGGGTCATACTTGTTCTCTCTGGGTTTCTCCTGACCAGGAGCTATACAGAAGCTGGAGCACAGAACTGGACCTTAGGGCCTCATTTTAATGAGACAGTGTGGCATAAGAGTGACAGCTGCATCCCCTAACCAGCTCTTACCCTCTTTCAGATATTCCTTCCCCACTAATTTCTGCTCCCAGAATTAGAATTTTCTCTTATTGGCATATCTTCCCCAGAGGCTAAGGGACCATTTGGTGCTAAAGCTCAATCATTATAAGCAAGTTTATAATTATTGCTTCATGTGTTCTGTCTGGCTTAGAAAAATGAGGTTTAATATTCCTAGGAAATAAAATATACTTTGGGCAAGTCTTACAATCCAATACAAAACTGTTTGGTGACTACAACTCTGAAAGAGGCTATCAATTGCTCTCTGTGTATCAGTAAGTTAGGCTGCATACTAAACTGCCCCAAAATTTAGTAGCTTAAAATAACAATTGTTGAGTTTTGCTCTTGGGGCTCCAGGTCAGCTAGGTTGTTTTGCTGATCTGGACCAGCCTTGGCTAAATACACCTGGCCTCACTCATGGCATCTGTGGTCAGCTGAAGGGGAAGCTAGACTCTGACTGGTCTAGGACAGATCCCTCACATATCTGCTAGTTGTTGTCTATCAGTTTAGGGCAGTGAATTTGACTGGGCTATGTGTGTGTCATCAACCTGCAAGCTAAGTCAGGTTTGTTGTGATGGTGCAACTAAGTTCTGAGAGACAGCAGATAAGGTTTCTTGAGACTTACAACTGGAACTGATAAGGCCACTTTCTGCCATATTCCGTGGGCCAAATGAAGACATGAATCCATCCTGGATTCAAGGAGAAGGAAATAGAGCCCTCCTCATTGCAAAGGGCATCAATCTACCACAGTCCCTACACCAACATGAGAATGCTTAGCCTGATTTCCTTTCACCAAAGCTGCTACATTTCATTAGCCACCTACTCATGGACTGACTCAGGCAAAGGTCCACAGGCAAAGGTCCAAAGGGATGGGATGGTCCATCCCATCCCTTACAATTCATAGGACTTCATTTATCCTGATTCACAACAGGTTCACTTTCTGAAGATGCCATTTCTCGACACTGAGCCCAAATCCAAGTCTTTCTGAGCACATGGTCCTCCACACCAGCTGTACAGATGATCCATTTTCCTCTCTGCCCTGGCTTCTGAGAGTAGTTCCTTGTTTTGGTGAAGTTTTTCAGGAGTATAGACTTACCAAGACATCAAGAATGATTCCCAGCTAGTGGTTGAATAAATATTTGTTGACTTATCGACTCAATCAATCAAGGCTAATTAACTCACAATCCTGTTAGAAGCAATTCAAAATGTTACTTCTCACTGTCAGGAGGCAGATTGAGCTTGGAAGTAACTCAGGCATCTCTCTTCCTTCTGGAATCTCCACAGCAAAGCACTGAATCAGGACCATGGGACCCCTGGTGGCCAAGCAAGGACAGACTTTCTCTGCCAGTTTCTTCTGTCTTCTTGCTCTGTAGGGTCACTAGAATACCCTGAGCCAGGCTGTGAAATAGGTGGAGGTTGTACACCATCCTCTGACCTCCCACATTGCATGGCTGCTCTCCTCTACCCACCCAGCCGAATAATCCCAAACCCCATTGCCTCAAGGGTAAGGAGGAGGAAGCAAGAAGTAAAGGGTCCAATCCTGGGTTGTTGAGGTCAACAGGAGAATACTCACAGAAGACAAGGAAATAAAACAAAACGATAAAAACACTAAGAACTTGGTTTGAACAGCAAAGCAATGCTAACTGTAGGTATTCATAAGAAAGCTTGCCTTTCATAACGAATAACCCTATGCAATACCTTATATGTTTAAAGTTTTATTTGCTGTGTGTTTTACTGTATCATATTAGACTTTCTTCCTATATTTGATGTTCTCTTGCACAGGTGAATGTCATGTAATATTGTGTTTAGTAGGATTCTAGTATAATCCAATTGGATAAAAAAGAAAAATCTATGTATTTACATATACATAGATGTAAAATTTTCATATATTTTTGTTAAAAGGTGCATTTTATCCTTATAATATCTACATGTATATGTAAATGTATACATATCTTATATAGTTAACGTCTAAGTACATGCATATGTATACTTACGTTTCCAATGAAAATGATAAGAGTGGGATCATAATGATTATCTCTAGAGACATTGTTTTTCATTTTCTTTTCCATATACTTAGACTTTTTTTTTACAATGAGCATGTGTTACTTTTTTTGTAAATTTTAAAAAGATTCGTGTAGTTTTTCTTACCTCATTATCCCCAGCTTACATTGTAAATCCAGGTAATTTTTTATATTGGATCTTTCCTGGAAAAAAAAATTCCACTATTTCCCATCAAAAGGGTCTGGTTTCCAACCCAGGAAAAAAAAAATGAAGAGTCCAATCCTTTGGTTCAATTGATGAAGAAGCCAAATCCCAACCCTCCCCAGGATAGGACCTTACTGGGGCAGAGAACAGTGCCTCCCAGCCCAGGCCAGGGCCAGCCCCCTTGCAGCCCTTGGGCCTGGGTGCTGGACATGGCAGCACCATCTTCCCTTGCTCTCCCAGGGTCGCGGGGGCAAAGGCAGCATCTACGTGTGGGCCTCTGGGGACGGCGGCAGTTATGATGACTGCAATTGTGATGGCTACGCGTCAAGCATGTGGACCATCTCCATCAACTCGGCCATCAACGACGGCAGGACAGCCCTGTACGACGAGAGCTGCTCCTCCACCTTGGCATCCACCTTCAGCAACGGCAGGAAGAGGAACCCTGAGGCCGGTGTGGTAAGTGAAACCACTTCTCCTCCTCGTTTCTTTGTGTCTGCTGCCCCTCTGAGACAGGGTGGGACACACTGACTTCCCTCCCTCCTTTCCTCAAAGAGTAAGCTCAGGTTCTGAGGGGAAGATGCTTTGGCTCTATGCCCAATTCTGCTTTGTTATCAAGATAGAGACACGCCATATGTAAGTTGCAAGCAAGAACAATGATGAGACCTTTCCAGCTCATTGACCATAGATAATCTTATCATTGTGGCATACAAATAGTCATGAACTGATTAATCAGTAAGTTACCCCAGCACATAATTTCTAAGAATAAGTAATTACAAGAATTGAGGTATCGCACCACAGACCCATCCTAGCTAAGAACACATCCATGTTATGGTAGTTAAAAAAAAAATCAGCATTGATGGATGGACATTCCTGGGCCCATAAACCCCCTAAATTGGACATACCTGCATATATTCTTAGGGAAAAGGATGTGATTTTCATCATATTCTGAAATGGAACCATGATTTTAAAAACAAAAATTAAGGATCACAAATTTAAGTTATTTTTTGCTCTTTCCTGAGCAAAATGTCTTCCTTTTTGGTCAACTAGATATAAAGACAAATTCTCCAAGCCCCTTAGAAATGTGTCACCTATAGAATATGAAATTGACCCTGTGGATCGTTTCTCTCTCTGGTTATTTTATTCCTTTATCAGTCTTAGAGTTCCAAACCAGGATTTTTTTTTAAGCTGTGCATTTGTAAATTTTAAAAAGATTCACCCACAGTTCAATAGTCTTGGGTGAGTGACATCTTGACCAGCGGCTCACCTCCATTGGGGTTTCTCAAGAGAGGAGGATGGGAGCTCCAAACAAAATTATTATTACTATCTAGTGTTTTAATCCTACATTCTCTTCTGGTCTTTCTTCAATCCTACATTCCCCTGTGGACTCTCTCCTTGGCAAAATGGTCAGACTTCTGCATGAGCCAGGAGAAACCCTTTACCTAGAAGAGATCTAGACCTTAATAGCCTGCCCCTTCTGTAGCCCTCTCGGTCCTGGGGAGGATGGAGATTATGCCGGTTCCTCCCAAGCAAAAGGAGCCTCCAGACCTTCTTATTCCACCAACTGTACAGGAAGAAAGGGAGAAGAGCCCCTAGAAAAGGAAAAGGGAGGGTGGCCTCAGTCCTGTTCTGTTTGAGGTGACTCACTCTCCCCTGTAGAAGCTTCACTCCCTACCCAAAGGGCCACCCTCAACCCTTATCTACAACTGCCTTTCTACTTGGGCTGGGGAAAGGCCTTGAATTTCTTCAGAATATTTTAATTTTCCCCCATAGATACCTTTAAACCTCCCTAATCCTTTGCTCCTCAAAATAATAGGCTCTCTATAGAATCCTACAAACAGAGGGAGACAAATTCTCAAGGTTTACACATGATCTTCATGAAAACACTGGCTTACACAAACATTGAAAATGATGTTTTTCTCTTTGTAAAAGTCCTTTAAAGCTCAGTTTATCACTTTCTCCCCTAAATAAGAATTTTGGAGGTGATTCATCCACATATCAAATTGTCTTGACTTGTCTCTTCATATATTTTAGATATAGGAGAATGTTATATTTGATACTCTGTCTTTCCAGGTACAGTTTAGACAACCATGTTTCTTCTTCTTCCCTCTTTGAGAATACTACCCTTTCCTTATTGAAGGGAAAATAAACACTGGTGCAGAGGCCCATAGGCTTTCCCAGAGTCAATCAGTGCAACAAAACTCAGCATTGTACTGACTAGATGCTAACACTGACTTATCACTTTCCACCTCATAATGTTTCCTTTTCAGATTCAGGAAGTAAATGTCTCTCTAGTCTCTGGACTTGCCATATAGATGTTCTTTGAAGAAATTACTTACCTGCGAACACTATAGCAATAACTGATCACGTGTCCCTTTCTGCATGGGCTACTAGGAAGCTCGGCTAAAATTTATGGCAAAAGAGATAGAGGTATATGGATGCTGAGTTAATCCTTAGTTTCATCTTAATCTTATCAGAACAAGGCATAGTTCAAATGAAATAGATAATACCATCATCCACTTTGTTTGGAGATTCAAAATAATGTGATTTATTTATTTATTACTCAATATCTTCCCTTCCAGGCCACCACAGATTTGTATGGCAACTGCACACTGAGGCATTCTGGGACATCTGCGGCTGCTCCAGAAGCAGCTGGTGTGTTCGCCCTGGCTTTAGAGGCTAAGTACGTCTATAGCTCTGGGACCAGGGTCAGCTCAGAAGGTGGACTAGCATGTTCCTTTTTACACACATACCAGGTGTCCGTGGAGGCAAAAGTGCATGTAAAAGTCTAAGAATGGTCAAGGCCAATGAATCTGCTGAACATTTCTAAATGCTCACCCCCAACACACACAAACACACTCACAAACACACACACCATAAAACTACATTTCTAGGAGGACAGAATACTCCAATATCCAATAACACATATCAGCAACTTACTTAGGTATCAAATAAGGGCACATAAGTACATCTTTCTTCATCCACCCCTTCATCTTCTGAATGGTTTTTGGCTATTTTACTTCTATATTTTAACCAGCTAATGAAGGAAAATTAAATTGACAAGCTGGGTATCTAGCAAGGCATTTCAAAACATCTGGCAAAGAGGATGTTCCTAACACAAGATTTGTTCATTTATAAGATGAATTTACTTTCCAACACTGAGACAAGGTGGGCAAAGCCATGCAGTGTAGACAAGGTATGGGCTTTAATGGGAAAACCTTCAAGTGGCAGGTAAGAGGAGACCATTCCCTATGTTCTCAGCATCCCACAGAGAGGCCACATGTTGCTACTGCCGATTACACTTTGGATTTGAGCATCAGAGGAGGTACCTGCCCACCCACCACTCTGCCTTCTCTCATTGAAGCCAGAGGTTGACTTTCTGTTCAAGGAATGAACACTTGGACTTCAGACATGCCCCACATGGCATGAATATAAATGCCAGCTATATAGAGAGTTGTCAGAGAATACAACACCCAGCAACTTGTGACAAGTTGGATTCAGGATCCTGGGGAAGGGGAGTCAATTTCCCATCCCTGTCAGCAGTTGCTAGGCAACTTCAGCTTCTAGCATCAATCTTCAGGCCGTCTTGCCTATATTACTCCACATATGCATGAATTTTACAATTTGCAAAAGGGGCAAGTGTTGGTTCCTAGAATAGGAAGAGACTTTGAAAGATCATCTAGTTCAACTCTCTGTCTTCAAGTTTGAAAGCGATAATTATTCTCCTTCTATAGAAAAGATCCCAAGTTGAGAGTGACTTTTCTCTTTAGACCAATCTAACCTTTGATTCTTATAACAAAAGTCAGGTGGAAAATTTAAGACACTAAGAGAGTGACATTGGTCAAAACTTAACTTTTAACTAACAGTTAATGTTTTAGTTAGCTTTTTCATTGCTGTGTCCAAAAGACCTGACAAGAACAACGTAGAGGAGGAAAAGTTTATTTTGGCTAATGGTTTCAGAGGTTCTGTCCATAGTTAGCCAGCTCTATACTTCTGAGCCTGAAGTGAGGCAGAACATCATGGTGGAAAGAAGGGCATGGTAGAGTAAATCAGCTCAGGAGATGGCCACCAGGAAGCAGAGAGAGAAAGCATGCTCCCCAGGAGTAAAATATATATGACCTACTTCCTCCAGCCATACCCTACCTGCCTTCAGTTACCACCCAATTAATGAATATCAGTGGGATTAATCCACTGGTTAAGTTATACTTCTCATGATCATTTCACCTCTGAAAAATTCTTGCACTGTTTCACACATGAGCTTTTGAGGGATACTTCAGTCCTATTAAAAACACAGAAACCAAAACTTATTCACATGTGTTGTGCATTTCCTAAAAATGAAAGGTCCATCTCGGGTCCTGAGTGGGGTGGCTCTGCTTACTCCAACTGCAAGCACAGACAAACAGAAGTGTCCCTTTTAACCTCGGTTGGCAGGACTTGACTCACAGTCCCCTGGGATCTTGGCAAGCAAAAAGTCACTTGCCCAAGCCCTTACACATATGAAAGGGCAACCTAAATTGAAGCTACTGGATTCCTAAAGAGATTTGTAGTTCTCATTGATTAATTAGCATTCTTTAAGCAGATGTGTGTTTTCCAAGAAAGCCACACTCAGTGGCTTCTGCTTATTCTCATTGACCAGAACTGTCACATGACTACCCCACACTGCAAGGAAGGCTGGGAAATGTAGTTTTATAGTTGAGTATATTGTTGTTCTAAGTAAAAAATTGAAATTTTTCTTACTAAGGAAAGGAGGAAGAATAGATACAGGGGAAAGACAACTCCTAGTTTTCTTCCAGTGACTAAGTGGGTTATCACTCACTTTCTCTGCATCTTTATTATCTTATCTGCAAAATATTGAAAGTTAGATCATTCATAAGATTCAAAGGACTGTCTAGAATACTGTAACCCTGCTTCAGGAATATAATTTCTTTTAAAAAGAAATTCAGTTTGATGTGCATTGGTCTTAATATTGAATATACCTTAAAACTGTCAGGAAATGTTCATTTACATGTTTTTAAATATTGCAATCCATATTTTCATTGGAAAATAGTATCTATTCTCTTCTAACTTACTTCAATTCCCAATATATAAGGTAGATTTTAATATTGATAATAATAATAAATAATAATAATAAACTCTTCATTGAGTGCTCATACTGTGGTAGTTACTTTACATATCTGATCTACATTTACAACCTTCAACAAGATTATAAGGTCTTATCCCCAGTTAAATACATAGACAGTAGAGTTTGGATTGTTAAAGTAACTTTTCCAAGTTCACACAGTTGGATTTAAAACCTACTGTGACTGATTTCCATTACTGTGGTTTTTCCTCAACCCAACTCTTTCCTAGAAGAGGCATTGCCCGCAAGGAATCAAAACCAAGCTATGAAATCAAAATCTGGACCCTGACATTATTTTTTTTACCATCCCCAAATGATTGAAATATGCAGCCGAGGTTGTGAACCATCATCTTTGACCAATGTTCTCAAACATTGGTGTGTAGAAAAAAACATCTAGGAAGATTCATGCAAATTATCAGGCCAACAACCTCCAAGATGCTTATTTAAGAGAGCAGGGAATCTAAATTCATCACTAAACATCCAAGTGGTTCTGATGCAGGAGATTTGTAGACCACAAAGAGGCTCCCTATCCACAGGGGATCCACAGATGGTTCCCACAGCATCCTGAGCTCCCCCTAGCAAGGCAGCTCTCACTTTTTAAATATTGAGTTGTCCATCTGTCCTCATGTTATAAGCTCTTGAAGGAGGGACCTTCATATGACATGCCCAAAGTTAGTACAGTGCCTGAATGTGGGACACATCCAGTAGACATCCACAGAGTCACTTCACATATGGTACCTTTTCACATATCTGTGTTTTATTTTCCTAATTATTATATAAAACATATGAGAGCAGGGGGATGTGTGTCATGTGCTTGTCCTATAACCTCCAACATAGCAACCTTTATGTTGCACATACACTGTAAATTTATTTTTTACAATTCAATAACTATCACTGTGTGAGTCGTGAGCTGGTATGATAGAATTACAACTTAAAACATGTTAGTGGAACACTTCTTTTACCGGATAGCGTATTTTATCAATTCAGAAATTTTTCAGAAGGGACAATTTGGAGAGGTCCAGTTTTACTATTCAGACATATGCAAACGGCTAGACAATCAATGTTGCACACTCATTTACATTGTAGTATTATGCTCTTATGTATCTCAATAGCAAGGAATTCTTTGTTCTGATTCATTCTGTCTTCTCTCTCTCTCTCTCTCTTTCTCTTACACACACACACACACACACACACACACACACACACACCACTGAAGAAATATTTGAGAGAGTCCTACTTCAGACATTGGGAAGCACAGTACATTTCCATGATGAACACAAAGGATACTTCACCAGCTAGCCAGTCCTCAGGTCATTTAGATCCTCATTTGCCAACACTTCTGAAATCAATAAATTCAGAATCACATTCCAGTGAAACACAAGAGCTTTTAGCCACAATCATCTTCAGGAAATTCCATGCCATTCTCTCAGGTCCTAAGGACCATCTGTCCCAGATATGTTCTGAATCATCTCAAATACACATTGACCCTCCTTTGAACTTTCTCCTTTATAAAAGACAGTCCATATTTCAAGAATATATGGATCACTGGAACACTTTGGCTCTGCTTCAGAGCTTCAAACCAATGAACTTTGTGTGTGTTGAAACTTCACCAAATGAGTTTCGCTGTTCCTAGTCCTTTGAATTATTTGACTTTGGAAGAGTATAGTAAGTAGTTCAGGGTTTTTCCAATTTTTTCCAATTTTTTAACCATGACCCTCAGTACTGCATCCCAACATACACACACCCCAAAAGTTTCATGAAAAATATTAATATAAGAATATTACAGGTAATACACCCTGTTACTGTTTCTATCCTTTTCTATTCTATTAAGTGTTTTAATGATAACCCCAGCCATTATATCACTAGTTCTCAACCTTGACTGTCTGCTGGAAGATCTGGAAATATTAACCATTTCCAATGGCTAAGTCTTGCTCCCAGAGATTATGATTTCATTGGTCTGGGATAGCCTGAGCAGATGGATTTTAAATGCCTCCTGAGAAGAATTTAATATGTAACCCAGGTAGATCACCTATACAATAAGTTGATTTCCTAGCTCACAAGTGAATCATGACTTGCATCTTGAAAAATTGATGCTAATAAGAGACACTAATTTCTAAAGACAATAGGATTTGAAAGCAAACTGATTTGTTCAATGTGCCAAGGACTATCCTGGGCATTGGGGATTGTATAAATATAGTGAAGATATTATCTCTGCCCTTGAAAAACTGACAGTCTCATTTTTAAAAATGAGTACACTCATATAGTCAGCATCCTGACAAAGAAACAGCACTGCCAGCACCCACAAGCCCCCAGGTCCCCTCCCAGTCATGATCCCACAACTAACCCAGCTTCCAACAGCATAGGTTATTTGTTCCTGTTTTTATACTTTAAACAAATGGAATCACACATGCATTCTCTATATTAGTCTGTTTTCCCTTGCTATAATAAAATACCTGATGCTAAGTATTTAATCAAGAAAAAAAGTTTTATTGGTTCACAGTTTGGGAGGCTGAAAGTTCAAAATCAAGTGGTCTCCAGGAAGTCTTCGGGGCTGATGGCATCATGCTGGGAGCACAGATGAGGAGAGATCACATGGCTAAACAGAAACCCAGAGAGTGATGAGGGCCAGTCTTGCTCTTTTATAAAAATCCTCTCTCATGAACTAACCAGGGTTCTATGAGAACTACATTATCTCTCTCTGCCTGAGGGCAATGGCCCCAGTGATCCAATCACCTCCCACTCAGCTCCACTTCCTAAAGGTTCCATCACCTCCAACATCACCACACTGAGGATCAAGCTCATGAACCCTTGGTGTGGACACCCATACCATATCCAAACCACAACATTCTATTTTCTGCCTCTCTTCCTTAGGTCAACACAGTATTTGTAAGACATGTCCATATTATTAGAAATCATTCTAGCACACTCATTGTCATTATTGTATAGCATTCCACATTCAGTGGTTTATTCTTGCTACTGTTAAAGGATATTTGGGTTCTTCACAGCTTGGAGTATTCTAATATACATATCTGGTAAAGATATACACATTTTTGTCAGATACATATATAAGAATGGAACTTCTAGGCTATTGTTTAGACGTATGGACAACTTTAGAAGATCTAGCCAAACAGATTCCAGAGTGGTTGCAACAATTTACACACCCATCAGCAAAGCCCATGAGTTCTTCTTGCTCCACATCTTCATCAACACAGCATGATCAATCTTTTTCATTTTAACCATTCTAATGTGTGTGTGTTAGAATGCTCTTTTAAAATAAATCATTGTTAAGTAAGAAAGGCAAGAAAAAATTGAGTGAACATATACGATGGCTCTAAATCATGCATGGACACCCTTCCTTGAGTGAGGAGTTCACAAGTGTTCCAAAATCTCCCAAGAGGCCTGTGTTCTGGGTGTCGCTTATCTTGCTCATTGTGATGTCTCTGTCTCCCACCTTGCCTCTTGCCCTTACTCTCATGCTGTCTGCTTCCTGAACCCAGCCTGGGCCTGACCTGGCGAGACATGCAGCATCTGACCGTGCTCACCTCCAAACGGAACCAGCTTCACGACGAGGTCCATCAGTGGCGGCGAAACGGGGTTGGCCTGGAGTTTAATCACCTCTTTGGCTATGGGGTCCTTGATGCAGGCGCCATGGTGAAAATGGCTAAAGACTGGAAAACCGTGCCTGAGAGATTCCACTGTGTGGGAGGCTCCGTGCAGGACCCTGAGTAAGTAGGGCCGGGGGTTCTTCTGTTATATGTGGAAAATGCACCAGTGATGGTGCTGTGACGTTGACAACACTATCAGATTTCCTCTCCAGGTCAGGGGCAGGCACTGGATTTTATGCAGGGAAAACCGGCTTTTAGGAAGAACTGTAGAGTTGCACAACTCCAGGAGGCACCATTTACATAGCAATACAATTGTGTGACACTGAACTCTCACTTTTAGGTGTGAGCTGTAGAATTTTCAGTGGCTCATGCCATTATTTTTAACCACACAAATCAGCCAGTGCGACGAGCATCCAGATCAGTGAACAGAATGTGACTGATATCCCAGAAGAACCCCCCTCATGTCCTCTTCCATCATCATCTCCTCAAGGATAACCACTAAACTTACTTCTAACTCCATAGATATTTCACCTACTCTGTAATTAGTCTAAATGGAATATATACGGTGTTCTCTTTTATACCTAGATTTTCTTGTTCAGAATTATGTAACTGAGATTCGGCCACATTTAGTGTATCCTTGTAGTTTATTTTCATGGCTGATGTTTCAGTGCATAGGACTATATATTTATTCATTCTACTTGAGGGACAGTCAAAGAGCTTGACTGTATTCTGAGTGATGCCGATCACCATTTGGCAGGATTTGAGTGAGTTCTCCACACAGGATCCATGGGTTGGTCAAGTGTACCTTCTTCCCTTCTCACTTCCCCAAAATGGTAAAAGGATTGGACAAAAAGCCTACCTCTTCAATTTTTTTCTCTCTCCGTTGGTCCATCAGTAAGATGGAGATAGCAATTCTTACTATAAGGGAGATATTACATACTATGAAATACACAGAAAATAAGTGTATTTGTTTGAGTTTTGATAGATGTACCTAGGTAACTATCACCTAATCAAGAGATAGAACATTCTGTCTACCTGGAAAGATTCCTTGTGTTCCCTTCCAGTTAGTCCACACATCCCATAGACAACCATTGTTCTTATTCCCCACACCATAAGTGGGTTTTGCCAGTTCTTGGACTTGAACAAGAATCACATGGTATGAATGCTTTTTCCAGTTTCTTTTATTTAACATTAGGTTTAGGAGGTCCAAGTTTTTACATGTAATAGCTCATTCATGCTCAAGGCTGTGTGTTCCATTATAAGAATACACTTCTGTGGTATTTAAATGCTGGTTAAATTCATCTTATTCACCATTTTATCCACCTTACTTCTGTTATTCTTTTTATCCTGCCTTACTTCTGTTGATCATCTGAGTTTGAATAGACCTTACACTTTGGCAGTATGATCCCATCTCAATATAGTATTTTTAAACTTATTAGGTAAAATGGGTAAGATTACAAATGAGGCCGACTATTTTGAAAGCCAGTTACAAAAATGTTTTTAAAAGCAAATTTGTGATACAACAATGCACATATTTTTTTATCAATGCATTAAGTAAAAAGTTTTAGTGGCATATCCAAGGTCCACAATAATTTCAGAACATTGATGGTGAACAAAATGCTCCTAGAAGACATACACAATGACCCGGGTGGGATATGAAAACCTCTGAGCTTCTGGACAATAAGATCTGAAGTAGTGCTAATACCATTCTGCGACATTATCTAAATTCATGATTGAAACAGAAGCTAAGTTTCTGTTATAGGTTAGTAAAAACTGAGGAAGGGTTTCATAATCTAAATTATCAGACTCCCTGAATTCTGTCTTTGGGCCCCAAAATAATATCAACTGCATGGCAGGGTGTCAAGACCTTGAGGCCACTAAACCACCTGCTGAGTCCACTTGACAACCGTCTGCAGCACCCCCCAGGTACCACATGCAGACCACATGGCATCTTGATTCCAGATTCTAGGTGTCTGAGGGGGGGCCTGGGAAAATGCTGCTAAGAAATGCTCTTGAATAGCCCCAGGTCTGGCCCTTTATTTCCACCATCTCTTTTCATCACAGAAGGTTGACATCACCAGTTTCGATTTGAAGGTGAGAAAAGAGGCTCAGAATATGAAGTAAAGGGCCCTAGTTCATGGAACCAGCGACCCATCCATTCTATAAGACCCGAGGTCTAGAACTTCATCCACTGTTGCAGAGAGAAAGACTTAACAGGTGTCCACACCTTTACAGATGTTCTGACAGCAGCAGGTAAGGCCAGAACATTCCTTGCAGCAGTGCAGCTGGAGCACTATCTGGAGCACTATCAATTTTAAAAGGTGCCACTGTTGCAGTATTGAAAGGAACAATGAGCTTTGAACACCCTGGGACCTTTTTAGTCCAGGTTCCTATTGAAATGAGATCTTTCTTTTTTCACACAAGCCAGACTGAACTCCAAAGTTTCTCAAGGATTGTGTGTTTGTAGGAAAGGGCCAGAGAGAGGCACCATGGGAGGGAGGGAGAAGAGAGAAGGAGGGCACATGCAGAGATGAATGACAAGTGATCTCCCAGTTTCTGAATAATGTTCTGTCATGATCTACATCTACATGTGGAACACGGAGTCAGAGGGAACACGGAGAATAATGTCCATCGTTTAAGGAATCTGAGGCCCAGAGTTTTGATCATCCCGACATCTCACAACTAGCCAGGAACTGTTTCACTCATAATATTGTTTCCAGTTAAAAGAAAATAGAAAGCTATTATATTGGCACAGACTCAGTTGAGCTCTTCACAAGGACAGGATCCTTGTCTAACTATAGATATATTCCCAGTTCCTAGAATTGTGCTGGGCACTTAGATCTACATTAAATATTTTTGAACAAAGGAAGAAATGAAAATATCCAGCCAACATCACCTAGGCACAAAGAAAACATGCCACAGGAGCAGAGGACCAGCCAGGCAAATGGGAAGAAGCCCCAAAATGTTTGGCAGGGATCTGCATTCCTCCACTGCTCTCTGAGCCCTTGTTCACCCCTGCATATGAATTTGTTCTCAGATGCAAGTGAGTTAGGTCTAGGGCAGATATGTTGGTGGAAAACTCAGAAGGACAAACCATGGTGGGCTGCGCCACTTGGCAGAGGAGGTCCTTGTTATTTTAAATTGCCCTTCCAAGGGGGTTGGATAGAAGAACCAACATCCCTGGCAATTGGCACTTTCCATGACATGCCAGGCTGCACAGAAACAGCGTGCGAGGTTGAAAGAGTAGTGATTGTCAGGTTTATGGGTTTCCTAAGCATTTATCTTCTTAGAGAAAGAGTCAATTTGAAAAGCAATTTTCTAAAGAGACTTTATCAAGAGAGCCGGTGAAGGGTGCTCCACAATGATCACAGGGGAAATGCAACTGGCTGTGACGAGCTGCACCTGCCGGTAGAATGAGACAGAACAGGCCTGCCCATCAGCCAACAGGGACATTGTTGAGCTGGGACAGCCCCTTCTGTGTACTCCAAGAGAACTGTCTATGCAGCTCTTTTACAGCACAGCTAAATGTATAATCCAACTCTGAATTTTAGGTGAATTTAGAAATAAATGTTAAAACCTGGTATGAATGCCAGAAGCAGCAAGAGGAACTATGAAAAGAGCATCCTCAGCCACATGACAGCTGTTGACCATGGATGGCACTGCTGAGCCACAGTGTCTTCCTGTGTGGGTCACCGTCCACCTGAATCTCACCCATCAGAAAGAGGAAACCTCACAGTGACCACCCACTGAGTGTTCTTGTGTGACTTCCACACTGTAGACATTTTAGGCACTTGAGAAAGAGTGGCAATTAGCTGTCATGGTGGTGCACACCTGTGATCCTAGCTCTCAGGAGGCTGAGGCAGGAAGGTCATAAATCCAAGGTCAGCCTGAACAATTTATCAAAACCCTGTCTCAAAATACATAAACCAGCAGCACTTAGTTGTAGAGATCAATCCCCAGAACTGCAGAAAGAGAGAGGGAGGGAGAGAGAGAGGAAAGGGAAGGGGAAAAGGAAAAGGGGAAGGAAGGAAGGAAGGAAGGAAGGAAGTGACTATTCTCTCTCTCTCTCTCTCTCTCTCTCTCTCTCTCTCTCTCTCTCTCTCCTTTCTTGGTGCATGCCTGTAATCCCAGTGGCTGGGGAGGCTCAGGCAGGAAGTTCACGAGTTCAAAGCCAGCCTCAGCAACTTAGTGAAGCACTAAGCAATTCAGTGAGACTCTGTCTCTAAATAAAATACAAAATAAGGCTGGGGATGTGGCTCAGTGGCTGAGTACCCCTGAGTTCAAACCTCAGTACCCCAAAAAAAAAAGAGTGGCTACTATTGCTGTATCATACAGTTGAAGAGCCATAATACAAACTGCATTTCACCAGGATCCATGGGAAACAAACCTGTGTCTAGGCACCAGGCAACCATGAATTGTATGCAATAAAATAAAGATACAAGCCATCCCCAAACCCCCAGGCTTTTCTTTTTAGGACTTGAACACTAGACTTTTGTATATCATCCCTATAAGGTCAGAGAGGAGCTCTTCACTCACTTTATGTGCCCTTATTTTCTGTTACAAATGAGCTCCAGAATGTGACCTGGGAACTAACACCCTGTAACTATTCAAAGTATCTCTGCAGAGCCTCCTTTGGTTCCATAACCTACTCATATTTTAACCTTCTTATAAATTGACTCTTCCGATGCAGGTATCTTCTTTTTCTTTTAGAATTATTTTTGCTCCTTTTCTTCTTGTAAAAGCAATGTGTTGTCACTATAGAAAAATCAGAAAATACAAGGGAGCAACAAAAGTAATTAAGAAATAGTTGATAAATTCCAGAAGTAGCATGGGGAGAGTGAAAAGGGCATCCTTGGCCACATACAGCTGTGGCCATGTACAGCACTGCTAAGCCACAGTGTCTCTCTGTGTGGGTCAGCATCCACCTGACTCTGTCCCATCAGGAAAAGGAAACCAGTTGTCTCTTGGTATATGTGGGGAGTTGGTTCCAGGACTCCCCACAAATACCCAAATCCACAGATGTTCAAGTCCCTTGTATAAAATAGCATAGTATTTGCATCTGGCCTATATACACCCTCCCGTATGCTTTAAATCATCTCTAGATTACTTCTATAATACAGTATCATTGTGTTTGTCAGCTTTTTGTTGCTGTGACCAAAATACCTGACAAGAACAACATAAAGGAGGAAAAGTTTATTTTGGGATCATGTTTTCAGAGGTTCAGTCCGTGATCAGCTGACTCCATTGCCCTGGGCCCAAGGTGAGGCAGAACATCATGCCCAAAGGGTATGGAATAGGGGCACTGCTTCACTCACGGCAAGAAAGAGAATGGGGAAAGGGCCACAGGGAAGATGAATCCTTCCAGGCCATGCCCCTAGTGACCCACCTGCCCCCAGGTACTCCCCACCTGCCTACAGTTACCACCCAGTTAGTTGATTCCACTAGGATGGACTGATTAGGTTACAGCTCTCATGATCTAATCTCTCCATCTCTGAATATCCCTGCATTAACACAGGAGCTTTTGGGGGACATCTCACCTCCAAACCTTAACATCAATGTTATGTAAACTGCTGTTACATTATAATTTTTAGAGAATAATTTTTTAAAAATCTATACATGTTCACTATAGATTTGTTTTTCCAAATTTTCCATCTGCATTTGATTGAATGTGGAACCCCTGGATTTGAAGCAACGGTGGTATTGTTCCTAGGCTCTGTAAATGCCATGCTGTCTGCCAAAAACACAGTGAGAAAATGGAATGGTGTTCTCCATTTCTACCAAGTTTACTGTCCCTGGAATTCACATCAGGCTTCAATTTAATTCCATAGTAACTTAATATTGCCAAAGCAGTCCAGTCAAACGTGTTCTCTTTCAGGAGACCCAGCCCCTGTGCAGTAAGCAGTTCACATGGCAGCCTGGGGGTTGTATTTTTGTTTTGTATTGATTTCTAATTAGTTATACTGAACAGTAGAACGAATTTGGACACATTGTACACAAATGGAGCATAATTTCTCTTTCCTCTGGCTGTACTTGGTGCTGAGTCACACCAGTAGTGTAATCATACATGTATATAGGGTAAAAATATCTGTCTCATTCTACCATCCTTCCCATCCCCACTGCCCCATCCCTCCCCTCACTCTACTCTGCACAATCTAAAAGTTCCTTCATTTTCCCTACCCACATCCTACTATGGATCAGCATCCACTTATCAGAGAAAACATTTGTCCTTTGGTGTTTGGGGATTGGTTTATTTCACTTAGTTCCATCCATTTACCGGCAAATGCCATAATTTCATTCTTCTTTAAGGCTGAGTAATATTCCATTGTATATATGTACCACATTTTCTTTATTCATTCATCTGTTGAAGGGCATCTAGGTTGGTTCCATAGTTTGGCTATTGTGAATTGAGCTGCTGTAAACAATGATGTGGCTGTGTCACTGTAATATGCTGAATTTAAGTCCTCTGGGTATAAACCAAGGAGTGGGATAGCTGGGTCAAATGGTGGTTCCATTCCAAGTTTCCTAAGGAATCTAGATTGGGGTTTTTTTAAGTAGACAACTCCTCCACAGCATTAAATAAGCCATACTCCACAGGGATACCTGGCATGGCCTCTGACCCCTACATACATTCCCAACCCCCAAGGCTTCTAGAAAAATGTGTGATTCCTAGCATAATTTTGTATGTTTGATCTCATTTAGACTTGCCTGCCTTTCTGCTTTCTCATTCTATCATAAGAGATGATCTGAGTACTAGAACAACTTCTTTCTTGCATGGGGGACCTTACTGTTAATTCATAGAATCTCCAATGTGTTGTGGGCTGTGGATCTGATTTCTAACTTACGTGACTGTCCTATCTTTGATTCTTAGCCAATCAAAGAAATACTTTCAATTTTCTCTTAGGGAAACAATGTCACTTTTCTGCCAGTTTCTACAAATTGACTGTAAGGTGACTGTCACTGGTGACTCTAGACCATAAGAACCGTGAGTGCAACTAAGACAGAAAACAATCTTTCTTAGAATTCAGCTTATGTTTTGAATCCTTAAGGTAATAGTGACTATTGCATTTGACAAATGACAAGTGAATTTTATGGTTTCTAAAATGGTTATTACTCAGTATAATGCCCTCTGGTTGTTGGCTTGTGGATTTCCTTCTTGAGTTTTTCAAAGAAGCCCAGACTACAAGACAGGAAAGGAGATCAGCTTCCATGCAGGACTCAGAGCTGGGACCTCTTCCTGTTATTCTCTGTGACCTCCCCCTCTCTTCTCAGAGAGTCCCAGGGCCCTTCTGTCTGCACTCTAGAAGGAAAGACCCTATTCTGGACCTGCCTGCTATCTGTACAGAAACCCATGGTGATGCTTCCTTCATAACTTAAGGTTCTGGACTTTCCAGAGATCTCTAGAAAGGTGGAGAAAGTCTGTATCACAGAATCTACACTTTCCCCACCTGCTTTTCTAAAGCCTATGAGCCAGGCGAAAACCAACTGTCCTGGAAACTGAAGTCCAAGAGGCCTCCTGCATGTTGATGTTCTTATCACATTCAGATTCAACATATACGAACAATTTAGAAGTAACTAGCCACATGTTAATACGTGTAATTTTATCAAATTACATTTGATAAAATGTAATTAATTAAAATAAAATAAATTTAAAATTTGATTCTTCACTCACAGCAGCTGCATTACAAGTGGCTAGTGTGTCAGAGAGCACCGATATAGAACATTTCCATCACAGAGGGACGTTCTCTGCTGGTCCAGCTATTTGTAAATACACTATGTATAGGAGTGTGTGTATATAGTCATGTATGTAGCTTTGACCTCTAATATGGGCTGTAAGCCAGCGCCACCAAATTGGATGGTTTCTCCAGAGCCTGGGAACAAAAAGACTACCTCTACCACTATCAGTGGCCCTCCATAACCAGTAGATACTTTTACATCACTCAACATACACATCCAGGGGGATGGTGCATAGCATCACTCTGTGAGAACTGTCTCATATATTTTAAGTTCCTCAGGAGAGTATTGCTTTTATTGATGGGCTGCAGTGTAAGCTTTGGCAAGCCCTCCCAAGATGACAATCTTGATTCCAAGAGCAATAAAGAAACAAAGCTTGTCTCTGAGCTGGGTGCGTGACCAGCATCTTTTTATAGAAGTGTTTTTGCAAGATGTGTGTTTAAAAATATCTATCTCTGTACTGGGGATGTAGCTTCAGTGGTAGAGCATTTGCCTCACATGCACAAAGCTCCGGGTTCAATCCTCAGCATGATCCTCTCAAGAGGTTCCAACTCTGTGAACAAAGACATCCCCAAAATCTGGTCATGTCTTATAGAACTGTCGTTCACCAGAATTAATTTACCCAGTTTCAACTTTTTTTTTTTAATGGTAGAACAGGTTGAGTGTCTCTAATCTGAAAATCAAAAGTACTCCACGATCCAAACCTTTTTGAACACCAACATGATGTCACAAGTAGAAAATTCCACACCTAACCTCATGTGATGGGCACTAATCAAAATGTAGGTACACTAAAATGTTGCTTAAAATTATCTTTAAGTTATGTATATAAGGTATACAGGAAACATCCGTGAAATACATGTGTAAGCGTGGGTCTACATTATGTATATGCAAATATTCCAAAATTTTAGAAAAGTTCAAAATCTGAGACACTTCCAGTCCACAAGCATTTCTAATAAAGAATATTCAATCTGTAATCATTATCATATCAGCAATATATTCTATTTATCAAGGTAATTAAAAGAAAAGTATGAATTCCTGCCTCAAGTCAATCCTGAGACAAGACTTGGGTGCACACACAGTTTTTTGAGAGATGATCCCAGAAAATCCACAGAAGTGAGGATGCAAAACAGGGGACTGCAAAAAAGAATAAAGAACGCATGACTGAGCATGTTGCCACCAATCCCATAGAGGACATTGAGTTGTCCCATGGAGGGATAGAGAAGTCAGAGTGTATTTATGCACCACATCCTGTCAATCATTGGAAGAGGGATGCTCCTGAGAGGTTAAGTCACTGGCACCTTTGGACAGACTAAGCATGTTCCCATGGTGTAAGTGGGGGAGAAGCTGGAGTTGTTCATGCATGAGATGAGAAGCAATCACAGTGCACTGCATCTGCAGTAGCAGGTGACTCAGAAGGGACTTAGAAGCAATGGGAGGGGCATCAACAACATCTGCTACATTCCCATTTTACGGGAAAGTTTCTGAGCATGGTAAATTGCTCAGACTCACACAACTGGAATGGAAGCTAAACCCAGGTCTGTCTGATTAACTCCAAAGCCCCCACTCTTTCTGCCTTCAAACCCCCTCATAGGGTGCAAACCTTCCCTTATTTTATCTCTTTGCCCTTTTGCCCTCAGGAAAATACCATCCACTGGCAAGCTGGTGCTGACCCTCACGACTGATGCATGTGAAGGGAAGGAGAATTTCGTCCGCTACCTCGAGCACGTCCAAGCTGTCATCACAGTCAACGCAACCAGAAGAGGAGACCTGAACATCAACATGACTTCCCCTATGGGCACCAAGTCCATTTTGCTAAGCAGACGTCCGAGGGATGACGACTCCAAGGTGGGCTTTGACAAGTGGCCTTTCATGACCACCCACACTTGGGGGGAAGATGCCCGAGGAACCTGGACCCTGGAGCTGGGGTTTGTGGGCAGCGCACCCCAGAAGGGGGTGCTAAAGGAGTGGACTCTCATGCTGCATGGCACACAGAGTGCCCCGTACATCGATCAGGTGGTGAGGGATTACCAGTCCAAGCTGGCCATGTCCAAAAAGCAAGAGCTAGAGGAAGAGTTGGACGAAGCTGTGGAGAGAAGCCTGAAAAGCATCCTAAATAAGAACTAGTGCTGCACTTCTGCCTCCACCACCTCCTTCCCTTCCCATTCTCTGCCTCTATCCTTGCTTCACATTTCTGGCAAGCACCTAGCAATTACTGTCACCCCACACAAGCAATTCCATCTTCTTGAACTGCAGCTTTGCTCACTATCAATGATTATTTTCATTACAATGAAAGCAACCTTTTTTTTTCTATGACCCAAATATAATGTTCCCACTAACATCTATGTCCTATGTGTTACTCTACCCTCTTTATTTCTGTCATTCAAATGGGTGATATCCTGCAAACAAAACTGGCACAGCTTTCCCCTGAAATTTTTTTTTCATATCTGAGAAGAGAAAAGAATGCATGTTAAAAAAGCCACACATAGCAACACCAAGAACGTCTGTCTGTGCTCTCAACTGAGGAACTGTTATGTAACAAGAGAAGTCAAAGCTGATGCAGAAGGCGAGTTCTGCAGCTCTTTAAAGCACAGGGGAAGCTGTAAATCCTTTGGGGAAAGATGATTTGAATTTAGCAAAGTTTTTTCAGGAACGTAGATTAAGGTGACATGATGAGAAAGATGTCATCCTTAGAGTCCTAATTACTGGACAGGGAAAGAGATTTAAAAATGAGCGTTGGAAATCTATCGCCAACACTAAGATTGTAATTCACCCTACTCGGCCAGCATGATATAAAACCTAAGTAGCTTGACTGTAAATTCACCAGCTGCTGCTCTGAGTTATGGTAAAAATCTTCTGAAGCAGCCCAGTTCTCTCCAAGTTGGCACAGAGTTCATCCCCCCCCCCCCCCCCCCCCCACTCCCTGCCAGTTTTCTGGGGTTTCTCACATAGCTATCCAAAAATGGGGAAAAATGAAGGCGGGTCTCACAACATGTCTGGTAAAGAATAGTCTGCTAGTTTTTAAAATAAGAACATTCCCTTTCCTAAGTCACTTTGGGACTTCTTGATCTTGATGTAAGAGATAAGGTATTATTTTTGACAGTTTTATACACCTCTACATGGGCTTTGATTTCCTAAAAGTATCACTGGAAAGAAATGTCTTGTTCCCTTGTGTCATGATGTCATAGATGTATTGGGGAAATGGCCTCTGTTCTGAAGAGGTGTGTGAGGGATGGCGGGGGCACATTTGAAGGTAGGAGCAACCATCTTTACATGGACCTCCATTTATGAGGGGCCTCGTGGGCCAAGAGGGGGATAAGCCAACTCATCCCCCAGTGACTTGAGGTCTCGAGAAGCAAGAGGAGCCCTCTTATAGGAAAGCACAGAGTTGCCATCTTGGCAATGCAGAAATCCATGAGCCCTTTTGACATGCCACCCAAAGGTTACAGTTATCAAATCCAGAAGACGCCATTTCATTGCCAAATGAGTATTACCAAAGTGACCTGTTGTCACTTTTTGTTCCTACCCAAGGATTGGCTTCTCACCCCCAATCCCAGTGCCCAGCCATTCCCAAAAAACAAAACAAAATCTATTCATTCTCAACCACTCCTGGCTCCATTTCTCCCTTCCCAATGGAGTATGTACTTGGCCTGGAGTCAACTTTACTAAAGCCAGTAGCACAGGAGCGCTGGGTTAGATTCCCTGAAGGTGCAACTTTAAGAGAGAATTCTGGAAATGTCACTTTCTTTTCTCCCCCATACTGGCATGAATTTCTGTCTTCTCTAACACCTTGTGACTCACCCTTGCATCATGCTTTAAAGTGTAATGATATTTATGATTTTTTAAAAGAAATTTATTACTTGTTGCAAAGGTCTTTTTAAACCAGTTTAAAGAAAAATAAAATATAAATGGAAATCATTGAAAATTCATTTCACATTAATGGTCTGAAAATAAACCAAAGGACATTATGTGTGCATGTGTGTATAAGTGCACACAGAAATATTATATATACATATGTAGACTATATACATGTGTGTATATATGTGTATATATATACACTTGTATAAATGTATATACACACATATACTTAAAATGTGTGTATGTGTATTTATTGAAAAACAGACACCATATTCATCTCTAAAAGAACATTCAGAGAATATCAAGATGATTCTGGCTGAAGACAAAGGCCGGTGGAAATTCAGGTGAAAATCATCAATTCCCATTTTGTCACCTCTGTAATTTTGCAGCTCTCTGTATAAACATTAAATGTCTTATATAAGCAGCAAAAATATAAAATAGTTGTCCATATTTTCACAGTTGTGATATAATTTATGAAATTAGAGAGTAACTTATCAGCTTCTTAATAGAAATGGCAAGTTTTGATATGAGTATACAGTATATAAAAATATATATAGTGCTATATATAAATATTTGGTCTCTATTTCATTTTTTGCATCAGTCTTAACACTAAACTATGTCAAGCTAGTGATGTTTTTATGATATCCCTGATTCTAATGCAAGAGACAGCTATTTATAGTCATTTATTTTAAAAAATGAAAATAAGTGAATAATGATTAATCAGGTTAACATTGTTACTTCCTGTGACAAAATTTTATAAGTAAATTTAAAATGATATGTTGTAAATTAGGAGGCTCAACAATAAAACATTACCTTCCAGAAATTATGTGGGATGTGCTGTATCTTACATGAAAACACTTTCCATTGATTGTAGAGAAGATAACAAAAAGTTTCCAGTGAGAGACCTAAAAAGCTTTCTTTAGTAAATATGCATGAAAGACATAATTAGCATATAAGTCATACACAAATTATGATCAACAGCAGCATTTTTCAAACTCAGGTGACATCCATTAGTACACTGTAAAATCAATTTAGAAAGTTAATACCAGGATTTTTTAATAGGATAGGATAGGGTATGGTAGGGCAGAGTAAGGTAGAGTAAACTAGATCACGCACATTAAGGATAAGTATTGTTTTCCGAAATATTTTTTTTCCAGCGTTGTGTATGTTTGTGTGTCTGTCTGTCTTTGAGTGTGTGTGCTGGTTCACAGTGTAAAACACATTTCTTATTATGGGTCACAGTCAAAGATCTTTTAGAAACACCATTCTAGACCACATTAGTCAAGCTAGACTAAGTTATGCTATAGTAACAGCCTCAGGATCTCAGTGATTTAATACAACAAAGATTGATCATTTCACACAAATTCTAATAAGGATTCAGGTGACCCCCTAAGGCCATAGACCTCCCAGTGACTAGAGCATCCAGGTTACTTCAGTCTTCTTGTTTGTAATCATAACATGAGGATGCTACAATCACCATGCAGAAGAGGACCCATTAAGAACTCTCATCCACTCCTCTACATTCAGCCTGAAGAAGATGTACACACCAATTCCCTACCCATTATTCACTGGCCAGAGCTGGCCAATGACCATGCCTGTACACAAAGGACCTAACAGATACTTGGGGAGCTTTAGAATTTCTACTGCAACACAAGACTTTTTTGTTTGTTTGTTTTTGGTGCTGGTGATTGAACCCAGAACCTTTGTATATATACTATGCAAGCACTGTACCACTGAGCTACACCCCTAACCCTAAAACATTCTTAAGTTCTGATTTACATGGTAGCTTCTCTTCATGAATGTTACTTGTGAATATTATTACAAACTAATATTTACCCCATATGACCACATGCTGTTTTAGAAAAATCTTATTAGTTCACTATAAAAGTAATTTGTTATTTTGTCCTCTGATACGCTGTTCATTAAATTCAATTATTAAAACTTTGAAGAGCACTTATGACTAAAAACAGATATTAAAGGGTATCAGGCCCAAAGTTTGGTCTTGTGAGACTGAGACACTTCTGATATTTGAGCACATTTAAAAAAAAAATTGGTAAAATTCTTAAAAATTACTATTCCACGTCACCATTACTATCACTCATACATTAATGATGGGTTTTCATGTGATCAATTCACTCATTGATTAGAGTGATTCCATGAAAACCACACAGGACAAAACTTTCAGGACACATAGCCATGTACTCTATATTAAGGGGAGGAAACGTGTATTAGGGAAATTGTTGAGTTCATAGCCCCATGAAGCTTTTGGATGCAACAAGTCTAATTTGCTAGAAATTTCAAAAAATCAAGACGCGGAAATTAGGAAAGTGGTTGTGATAGAGTGTGTTTTAATCAGCTTTTTTGTTGCTGTAACCCAAAAACCCAACAACAACATCGAGGGGGAAAAGATTATTTTGGCTCATGGTTTCAGAGGTTCAGTCCACAGATGGCCAACTCCACAGTTCTGGGTCCAAGGTAAGGCAGTACATCACAATGGAAGGATGTGGCAGAGGACAGCAGCTCCACACATGAGAAAGCAGAGAGAAAGCTTTCCTCGTCAGAGACAAAATATAAATCCCAAAGGCACACCCCCCAGGGATCTACTTCCTCCAACCACAACTTACCTGCCTGTAATTACAACTCAGTTAATCCACATTAGTTTATACCTCTCATAATCTAATCATGTATCCTCTGAAAACTTTTGCATTGTCTCACACATGAACTTTTGGGGGACACCTCATATAGAAACCATAATAAGGGTAAAGTGTTTTTAAAATTCTGGGAGTGTGAAGCAATATTAGTACAGAATGTCTCCTGCACCAATGTGAAGAATTTGGTTGTAGCCAGCAAAATGGTTCTCATCACCTGGCAATGGTCCCACTCCACACCCACCCACATCCTCTCGATACCTCATTAGATGCCCAAGAATATTAATCTCAACCTAGAGGATACACACACCTGGATCTACAGAAGGGAACGCCCTCCTCCTTATATCACAAATTAATCAAGAAGTACTTGAGATTTTACACTAGTCTCTTGTGCGTTGAGTTGAATTTTTTCCTTGTGTTCAAAAAACTCTGATCAGATTTAGTTTCGGATTCATAGGAACCAAGAAACAAAGTCTGACCTGAGGCAAATTCCCCAAGCTAATTTACCAGCTCTGGTTTTTCTCTTAGAAGAGTCATAAACCTGGGGATAGAGTGAACTCAGTGGAAAATGTGGGCAGCCCCAAAAGGTGATGATTCAGTGGTGCTTAATTCCTAATGCTCAGCCCTATATGGTTTGGGGAGGAGCAATGTGGGAAAGCAATTAGAAATCTCAGTTCAGAGTTTCAGATGCCAGAACAGCCCAATGTGACTGCCAATTCCTTAGGTCTAATGTCAGCTGTCACCGTTTTCCACCAAGGAGGCTCCTGTCCCATCTGCCCTCATCATCCCAGCAGAGAGTGTCCTATCTCACATTGTCCTCAGAGATGTTCCTCTGCATC